GGGGGTAATCGATTATGAATTGGGCGAACGGTCTTTAGCGGCTGATCTCTGCCGAGAGAGACCCTCTCTCTCTCTCCCCCATCCTCTCTGTCCATTGGACAATGATTAATGCATATTCCCCAATGACACTCGGCTGTCTGTGCTATTTCGGACTGAATTGCCGCTTCCGCTCCGATAAGCGCCACGCAAATTTCTTTTCCCGAAGCGTCCAAAGCTTTCGAAGCATTCGAAGCATTCGAAGCAGTCCACGAAAGTGTTTACATTGTGCTTGCGAGCCGAATGAGAGGAAGTGCCGAAGGAAGAGGGAAAGGAGCGCCCGAGGGAATGGGGGAGGGGCAGGGGGTAAGCCTTTCATTTTGCCGACGTAGCTAAGGAGTCACGAGGAAGCTCAAGATACGATAGGAAATTTAAAAATAACGCTTCGCGCGCGGCAGCTTCTCGGGTAACCTGCTGTTTCTGATTTAATGGCCGGCCACCCGGAATTCTCTTTAATATTCTCGACTACCTGACTCGACCAGGAGGAACCTTCGCAATGAAGCTTCGGTCCTTTTTGATTCGACTTTGCTTCCCGCCCGTGCACGAGCCCAAAGTGGTAAAGAGAAAGAAGTTCCCTCCGTCTCTCTCGATATCACGGTATCGAACTTCCTATCAGAGGACAATTCAATTTGGCACTGGAAGTTTTATGGTCAAGGGAGTCTCGGAAGGAAACTTTGAGCTGCTTCCGTTTTAACTGAAATCTCAACGGGAGCGATCCGAGTGCGATGCGAGTGCGATGCGAGTGCGATGCGAGTGCCCGATCGGCTGCTCCAGCCTAAAACTTCACCGGAAATTAATCCAACAGGTAGCGGCTCTATTTCCCACTTTCACACTCGTCCTCGCAGCGACATTCGAGCTGTCCTCAAGTATTTATTGAACTTGCTTGTAGGGCTTACTTTCACAGCCGATCAGCACCAATTTTCTGTTACTCTTTGCTTCTTCTTCTTCTTCTTCTTCTTCTTCTTCTTCTTCTTCACCTTCCCAGGATGACATTCTCTATGTTATTTTCCCAAAAACCCTCGTTCCGGAGGTATCCTTCTACGCTTGACTGCACTTGTCAATCATTCGAGTCCTCCTCGACAGGACACAGCAAACGTGCCGAGTATCCTATTTTGTGTTTAGTGCCAGCCGAGTGCCGCTTCGAAGCTCACGAGTCACTGACCATCTTTTTTTCCCTTTATTCTCTCCACATAATTTACGTAAGAACCGCAATCGAATTTCCGCGTTTCGTACGGAAGAAGGAATTCCTCCGAGGGTCACACTGGTTCCTGCTCACGTGGCAGGCAGGAACGCCGCGTGCGAACTGCGACGGTACGACGCCGCGACGCGCGTCGCGACGACCCCTTCTCTCGCCCTACTACTCCCATGCATGCCCATGGAAATACGAAGATCGACTGTGGCGTGGATGCTTCCGACTTTGAAGCATTTGCACTCGGCAGCCTCTCGATTCGATCCTCGACTGTCGTTCACACAGGAACAGTGACTCCTGCTCCAGGGACACTCGAGACTAATGTAGAAGCGCTTAGGAGGCAATTGGAGGCAATCGGACGCAGTTGGACGCAGGTGGACGCAGTTGGACCCGTAAGGCGCAACGTTGTTATTCCGAAATATTGGAACGAGGAGCGGTTGACACGTTCGATCGGCGTTCCCGTGTTTGTGGAACTCATCAAACAGTAATCTGGCCATATGGCGGCCTCCTGCGATCCCTCGACGTCCCTCAATTTTCACTATTTTAACGCAACGCGATATTCTCCCTGTTGTCCCCTACGGGGCCCCGCCAATCCAGCGGGATCTCTCTCCCGTGGGCAGCTGCTCATTGGCTCTCCTTACCGTCAATATCCTCGACACCTCGTAACGGGAGGCGATCGGACGTCGCGGAAGACAATCTTCCCGAATGTCGGACTCCAGGCGGATTTATCATTGTCAAACTTTGCTTCCCCTCGACCCCTTCGGCTCCCTTGATCCTGGCAGCGCTCGATTTCGAGAAAAAGTCTAGCCGAGCTTCAGGAAGATTATGGCTGGACCACGTACAGCTCGTTACTGCTGGCCGTGTAGTGGTCGTTGCTAGGCTGTCTTGCTCTCGCGCAACTACACCACACCAAGTAGCTCCACGCCGAAGCATCGCGACGTCTCGCGCGGAGCGACGCCCTGGCATCGGCCGCTTCTCCACGTGGACAGCTCCGTCCGAAAGCTCCGTCTGGACAGGATCCAGGGTGCAGCCCTGACTGGCCCGTCAGGGCTGCAGCGAATGCTGCTCTTTGCAGGAGCCATCGGCTGCTTCAAAGTGGAAGTTACTGCCGAATTCCGGGGAAGGACATTCCGAAGGCTGGCATCGTTTGTCACTCCGGTAACGAGGAGTCTTGGATTCTCGCGGGACTAATTCTGGATAAGTGCTCCTCGGCTCTCGACTCCTTTACGTGCTCAGGCGTCGGGGAATCTCTTCTGCCAGACACGTCGCTGGCACAGCGTGCGCTGACACTGGAACGGGAAGAGACTCTTTCCTCTGGACCATTCACTCTGCCGCAGAGAACGCGTCTGCGTCTTCTTTTGTATTTCTCTGGGTTTCTGCACCACAGTAGCCGAAAGGTACACGTGCCTGGAATATGTCATACGTAGGTGAAAGGTTCCCCGATGGAGGAACGAGACGAGATGCTGCGAGGAACAGGCCCCTTGGGATCCGAGAGGCGAGGATCGCCGGATTTTCCCTCCAATTCCCTTCCCTTTCCCTGCCAATTCTCCTCTCAGCGAGGGAAAGCACTTCCGATCGAGCGAGCAGACTGGGTAAAAAGCTCCCGCAAAAACTGCGCCGCCTCGAAGATCCGATCGTGCTTGAGCCCAACTTCCTTCTTCTTCTTAGGGACGTCTGCCCGACGTTACGGAATTCTTTCGAATTCTTCTCTCCTCTCCCATTTAATCGCATCGTGTCGCAATCGCGCGGGTCTTTATTTCTACGCGTATTCCTCCAACAATTGAATTCATCGAGCACGATGGCGTAACACTTCATTCGAGGGGTTCCGTGCTTCACCGAATCGATCACTTTCTCTCTCTTCTTAATTCAAGTGTCTCCTCCTCCTATGAAGCCAATTTCCCTCCCGTCCGAAAATTCGCTCTGGAGATTAGGTGTCATCGTAAGTTGCTCAGAATCCATAGGAATAGCGGTGCGGAGAAAAAGCCAGGCTAAATAGAGAAAAATCCAAGTTTCTCGCTGAAAGTCAATTTGCATCAATTTCGAGTTGGACCTTCCCTTCGTGCTCCCATCCATTCTTTAGCCATCTATCCCATCAACGCGTACGTCCACGACTTGACGAATGCGCCGCTTTTCGGATCGCGTCCTCACGAACTTCTTCATTGAGAACATCGTCAATCGGCAGCCTCGAATATCCGCCGTTTCAACTATTTGGATCGACCGATTCGTCTTACAATTCGAATTACGAAATTTCCGATGTTTTGCGACGAGTTGATATTCTGATGAGACACAAAGCACCCGGCTGTTGTCTCGCTGCCGGGTGATACCAGGACAATGAAGAGGAACAATGGGAAAATGGAATCGCCGACAAGGTACCATGGCACGCCTCACAACGCGAGCCTTAGGGCTCGTGGCGTATCAATGGGATGATTAGAAATAACTCGTGTGGCAACCCGACGCCAGAGTATCGTGTCAGCACGCGAGAGGAGGAGGCCGGGATGTCCGGGATGGGGTGGTCGCACCACGGGAAAAACCGTAGGCGAGCCCAATATTGGTTCATTTCAGTGGGGCGGCAATGCGTTCGCCTCGAGACGAAGAAATAACGATTTAATGGAGAATACCTTGTGCGAGAGAAAGTGAGGAGCTTAACTGATAATCACTCATTCGTAAAGTCTCTTTCTTAAAAGGAGGGACTTCATTTCCTTGGGAAACACAGGCTACGCTTGACTTTTTGAATACATCAAATCGATTCGTAGAGGAACGCGAATGCCAGTCTAAGGTTCAGTAAATTCGTGCCAAAGGGAGATTTGCCTTCCAGCTTCCCTACATCTTGGAGTGAATTCTCGAGAGCCGAGAATTTTCTATAGACGCACTCTTCTGCTCAATTGAATATGGCGGCTCCAATGAATTCTGCCTAAAGTGTCCTCAAGAAGAAGAGAGGAGATCTCTCAGAATTCCTCTCAATTCTGTTATCTCCCTCCTCAGCCCCTCGACGTCGGTCTGTTCAGCTTTCGCTTGCTTCTTGCGGAAGTATCGCTGGACGAGTTGCGTCATTACCACTGAGAAGTTTTCCTTGTCATTCTCGTCAACGTTTTCCTAAAAAAAGGACGAACGGTTCATTGCGATTTCTTAAAGATACTAATCAAGGATCAAGTGCTCTCTCTCTCTCTCTCTCTCTCTCTCTCTCTCTCTTTTGCTTACTATGTAGCAGCAGTGCTTGATATTCCATCTGGCTCGTTTATCCGGTGGTTTGTTGATGAGTATTTTGAAATACTCGATGATCCACAGGATTCCTCTGGCTGTCGACAGGAGATTAAATGGTGGCGGAAGATTTGCTTGAGCCATAAAATCCACGTAAACCTAAGAGAATAGTCAGTGAGGAAAGATCAAAGAAGCAAATTCTTAGTTCGAACCTCGGTACGGCCAAAGGTCCACTCGACGTCCACATTGTCCGTGATCTTGGTGAAGGTGTTCGACATGCAGGCGATCAGCATGTTCAGGACTACCACTACGGATATAAATTCGAAGCCTGCGAAGAGGAAGAAAGACAAGGAGCTGTCGTTAGTCGAGAGAGAGAGAGAGGGAGAGGGAGAGGAATATCCAAGTGGCGTCCCGATGTACCGGCAAAGGCGACGTAGCCAATCGCCTCGGTGTAGGTGTGTTTGTTGATTATCGTTTCAGAATCATTTTCTCCCGGTAAGTTTTCGATTATCACGTCGGCGCTCTCGATCGCGCTCATGCAGAAGATCGCCCAAAATAGGGTCTTGAGCGTCGACGTGAAATCAACGAACGAGCTGACTTGCTGAGTCTTGATCTTCGACTCGTCGATCTGCACCATCTCATCGTAGTACTGATAGAGCCGGGTGAGTCCTGAAACGCAGGAGAGCCAATAATAAGGTAGAATCGGATGAACCTTGAATGCGGATCCTCGGTACCCGCGGCAAAGGATATCATGACGATGCTGAAGATGACGATGAACTTGGCGACGTCGTTTATCATCTTTCCTAGGGACATCTGAAGGGGTCCCAGATGATAATTCAGCTGGCAGATAAACATGAGCTTAAAAAAGGCCATTATGGTGGCGATGCAAAAGAGGCCTTCGGAGACGAGGGTCGGGTCGTATTTGTGCCAGTACTTCCTCTCGAGGTCGCGCTGTCCATTCTTGGCGACGTCGATGGCGGCGGCGGCCCAGAATAAGAAAGTCAAGAGAAAGAGGCTGAGCATTATCACCTCGTACCTGCGCACATACGGTAGAATTGGCACGCCCTGTAGAATTAAAAGCAGAAGTGAACAGAGGGTGCCTTTAAAGTTTTCCTACCAATTCCAGGGTGTGCGGAAGAATCGATGGGGTCCCTGGATCAGGCAAAGGCAGATGGCGCCCCATATGAATGATATCACATAGAGAACGATGACGGGCTCGATTCCTGGGAAGATTTCCGAGAGCTACAGGACCTGAGTGATTTTCGAGATCTTTTCACGATTCTTTCTCGGTTCCCTTTAGAGCCCTCGCGGCCATCTTACCACTGTTCGGAGGTCCTCGTAGCTGGTTCGTCTTACTTAGATTCGACTCGAAAAACACAAAACCCAAGAAGACAATGTAACTCGCGACGGAGGAGAGAAATCGATTGGCTGGGATCTTCCAGCGCTTCGATCGCGCTGAATTTGGCGCCACTAAGAGCATCATCGTGATTATCGGGAGGATGAGCATCCGCGGTGGAATCATCAGAGCCTTCCAGAGTGCCGACTTGATCTTCCACTCGTACCAGTCGCCCATCCACTTCGATTCTATTACCTGCACTTGAAATTCATTAAAAGCGATTCCCTCGCGATATTCCTGCGCGGCCGCGCAGCCAAGTAGAGCAGCTCCCAAGTAGAGCAGGTCCAACGCCGAGACTCCCCGTACCTGCTGAACGTTCGGATGCGCAACGAATGACTTTTGCCTGCAATCCATCGCCAGCAGCAGTCGCGGGTAGATGAAAGGCGTGGTGAAGCCAAGTCCGGCCATTTGCTTCAGAACGACCTCGACCTCATCGGCGGTTCGGGCGCAGCCAATCAGATCGGTTGCGAATTGGGCGACATCCTGCATCAGAAAGTCCTGAACCTCGCGAGGATCTTTCCTTCTTTCCTACCTTCCCGCCCACCGGCACCCACCAGCACCCACCTCGGAGAGCGTCTTGTACGCGTCGTAGAACTCGTGCTCGTACAATCCGGCCAGACGCAGCTCCCTTGAGAGTTCGAAGGCCACGAGGATCGGGTCGTAGCTGTCCTGGCAGATGTAAGCTGGATTCGCGATGGCCCTGTAGAGCTCGAGACGCATCCTGTCCAGGGTCAGAGGATCCTCCGATTCTCGTTGAGGCCTTTCGGGAATAAAGCAATTGGGATTAATCGGATGAATCTTCAACGACGCGAAGGAACTCGATCGTACTTGCAGACCTCCGCGCAGAAGCAACTCGGCGGATGAGGCTTCACGATCTTGTGACCTCGGTCCAGGAGAAGAGTTATCATCTCGTAATGTCCGTACTGCGCAGCGACCGAGAGTGGGGTCGCGTCATCGGCGAACTCCGAACTGTGGGTAGCGCCGACCTTCTCCATCCCCGGACTCTGTTCCTCGAGTTTCTTCAGAATCATGAAGGCGATCCGTGGCTCGTTCTCACGTATGGCGTACAACGCGGTATCGTGGACGTCCACGTCCGGCTGAGACAGCAGGAACTCCACCATGTTTATATTGCGCTCCTTCACGGCAATGTGCAGTGCGGAAATCCCCTGGAGGACACGAGACTGAAGTGGCCAGCAAGTGGGCACCAACCGCGGAAGCGCCGGCTTAAAGAATTCCGATGTTTCTCGAGCCCGAGGGAATCTCAGTTGGCAATGGACGGCCCACCGGCGTGGTTACAGTGGTTACAAGATTACCGAAAGGGGTCCCGGTAAGAAACGCGTGTAACCATTTGTCGGAGCGGCGACAGAGAGGAGCGACAAAGGCATCGCACGCTGCGCCGGGACCACGAGAATCCACGCCGCGGGAAAGCGACAGAGGGGCCCCATGGACCCGTGGACCCATGGACCCGTGGACCCGTGGACCCGTGGACGGACGGACGGGGACGGACAGGCGGACAGAAGGAGGGACAGAGAGAAGACGCCTGCGGTGGTTTATAGGGCACTTATGTTAGAGCTCAACCACACAATCGGACGAGCCGACGGAGATGGAGATGCGCGTCTCCAAGATCCAGCGAGAGATCCTTCGTGCAAATGCGGCCGAATCCCCAGCAGCCGACGTGCTTCTTCCTTCTCAGTGGGCCAAGTGTAATGTCAGAAGGTCCATCCTAACGATTCACGCTTCTTCATTGAATCAAAGAAAGTGTCGCCGTGGATACGTGAATACGTGAATACGTGAATACGTGAATACGTGGGTACGATCTCAGGATTCTGGAGTTTTTGTCGCAGCCATTACTTTTTTTGGAGTCGATTTACGTTTAATGTCATTCCTCGAAGGACCCTCTCTGTCGAATTGTCGACTGAGACGGCGCCGCGGTTCACGTCGATAATAAATATCACGCGTCCATTGTCGTCGCCTCGCTTCCCCATTCACGCGTTCACAGTAGTATTACGTCATCGAGTTTACTTGTTGCGTCAATCCGATGAAAATGGTAATGGTTGTGGAGATAGAGGGAGAGAGAGAGAGAGAGAGAGAGAGAGAGAGAGAGAGAGAGGGAGCACTTGGGACTTGGTGGCAGCCGTCTCGCATCTCTTGGAGAATCGTCGGCAGTGCGCAGTCGACCCCTGCGAATCGATAGACTTTCCGAATCTCTTTCGGCACTCTACAACTTCTTCCCGAGCGGCATTGGCGCAGAGGACCCGCCGCAAGTGATCCGCTAGTTAGTTGGCCGATATCGAGAGTCCAGAATGGGAGCTCAGAAAACGGATAGGCGAAACACCCGAGGACAAAGTCGAGCAGCGGCCCGGATTCCCCTTGGAATTTACAAGCTGGTCATTTGAATAATTTTTATCGTCGCTGGTTGAAACCATTGTCTTGTAAAGCGAGCCCTGAAATATGGCCGGAGATATACGAAGCGGAGACACGTCCTCCTCTCTTCGGCTTCGAGTCAAAGTCAAAGGGGGTTGGGGCCTTCGAGCGAGGAAGGGGGGATGGAGGAAAGGAGGGCGCATTCCACGGGGGGTACGTGTTCTCCTATGGGGTGAGATCTGAGATAACCGATTCCTCCCTCTCACTCCCTCTCTCCCTCTCACTCCCTCTCTCTCTCTCTCTCTCTCTCTCTCTCTCTGCTCCATCTCTCTAGCTTGGTTGCCGTCCGCTAGTCGCGTCGCTTTGTACTCGATCCCAGCAAAAGCTACACGTAAATCACGCCGGTGCGTTTCCCCAAAAGGGGTTGACGGAGGCAGGAACACGGAGGACAAGGGCTCTCATTTCCTTCTCTTAGTCTGTCCTAAAAGCCAACTCTGACGCCATCGCTACCATCGCTACCATGGGCGCCAGGGGCAGCCCTTAGAAAATCATAGACCCGGGTTCTTCACTTACTTCAAAGTTCATGACGTTCAGATCGACATCCCCGTGGCTTGCGAGGAAGGTCCGCACGTCCGCCACGTTTCCAATCGTGACCACCTCAAAGAATTCCTTATCGAGTTCCCGTAGCTGCGATACCATCACGCCCATGCGCTGTCGAGAAATACAAGCTCGGTTATCGTTACGGGCTTTTTGTACTCGCCCGGTGCGTCATTCACCAGGATCACACTCACCCTGTTCAGGATCTCCTCTTCCTCCTCCTCGAGCTTCTTGGCCATTTAGACTTTTTGAACCTTCTATTCGCTCAACTGCCGTTCTTCCTTGACTCGGCTGACGTTTCATCGTAGCGAGCGCCAATGCGCAATCGGCGACAGCGGCCGAGAGCGAACCAGTTGCCGCGCGCGACAACAGGCGTCTTCGTGCGAAATCATGCGAAAGAGTCGATCAAACAATCTAGAAATTATCCAGAGAGTCACAATGGCCGGTCACTGCTCTCTTTCGCGTCAATACGACCGAACCTTGGACATGGGATAGCCAATAAATCGCTAATCAATTGAATCTCCTTTAATAGTATAATTCATTTTATCAATAATATATACATAATTTATAATTTGTTTTGTGCTACGTACAAATAAAAATTACGACAATATAATAATATTATTGTAATATAATATAATATATAATATTTCATGATAACTTACGTGTCGATAAAATAATTATTATATTGCTAGTGTAATATCATTATTCTTGATGACGATGATCGCTGTCAGGTTAATAATAGATAATAATTAAAGTGACGATAGTAAGAATATTATTGATTGGGGATAATAGTTAATTCATTCTTATTGTTATAATAGATAGATAATAGAATTGAATAAAATGGAAAAAAAATAAATTGAAATAATTATAGGCGAGTACGACCTAGGTAATACTATACAGCAAGAGAATCGACACTTGCAATCGTGAATTATATGAAGTAATAGGTGGTGGCGATAGTGATATTGATAAATATTGTAAATAGAATGAGGACGAATGCGTGCATAGGAGGGGCTCAAGGGAGTGAATTACGTACAATCCGACTGGCGGGACTCATAATGATCGACTATTTACAAATCGCCGTAATTCTCTTGAAGAGCGCCGATTACCTTTCTACTTACTTAACTCATTCGCTCGTTCACTCGTTCACAAATTCATTCATCCATTCATCTATTGGTTTATTCGATTATTCAATTACTCGGATGGAAACGGAATCACCCGATCATTTCCGGTCCGAGAAATTATTGCAATTCGCTTTTGCGAAGATGCGAGCCACGCTAATTCACGAGCAAAGATCCATTTTCAATTTTTCCTTTTTCTTTCTCCAAACTGGACGAGCTCTTTCCGTCTCTCACTCAGTTTTATTTTCTGGATGCTCGTACGTTAAAATGTGATTCCAACGGCGTGACGCTGTCCGAAAATTTCAAATTTCTATACAATCTCAATTAATACTGTTTGACCTCGTTAATTTGACCTCCACGTTAGATAGAATTCAATAGGCTCTCCGCTACCGCGTCGACACTGAATACACAGCCTGCACGTCCTGTATACAAATAGATACTTATGCCAATAGATATAATGCAAGTAAATCGAATACATTTATACACGTAGTACGCTAAAATAGTTCGATTCTCTCTAAAGCTTCGTTATTTCGATGAAAAGACTGGCGGGACGCGACCACTGCCCTCCTTCCCCTTCGTCTTCATTCTTGTCTTTGACATTAACTTCGCTTCCTTCCTTCTCCTCCTACGGAAGTCGCGGAACGCGCGAGGGCGCTCCGTTGCTCAGCCAATGACCATTGAACCTAGGATGACGCGCACATCCGCGATTGATGCGACTCAATAGAGCATCTGCGCTGGCAGCACGTACGCGGAGATGGAATAGAGGACGGAGGCGTACCAGTGGACCCCAGTGGCTGCTGCTGAATGCCTCGTTGCGTTAACGTCGATCGTCTCCGAGTATCTCCTCTCGGGCATCTTCCACGAAGTCACAGGCCCGGTCATCAGGCTGGCTAATCTGTGGATTCCGGACTTGAGATTGTTCAAAATTCTCAGCGGGAGGAAGGCGTAGTGGGCGATCATCTGACTGTCGACAACTGCGTAACAGGAAGCGACGACGTCGTCCACGAGGAGAGTTCCTTCCGTGGTGAGTGGTGCGAAGATACCCTCCTTCAGGACTAGCTCGACCCGCGCAACTCGATCCCACCGGAGGTTCTCGTTGATCTGGTTGATCTGGTTCAGCTGGTTCAGCTGGTTCAGCTGGTTCATCTCGTTGTTCCGGACGTCGTCGTCTCGCACGAGAATCCTGTCTCCCTGCTGGACTCGCGCAGCGAAGACCGCCGCCTTCCCTTGGACGGGCACCAGGTGGGCTGGTGTCAGGGTGAGCACGTGGCCGGACTCCGTGGTCAGCTCGAGGAACTGTCTCCTCTCCTTGGGAGAACGATCGAGGAAGGCGATCACCTCGCTGTAAAGCAGGTTGCCGCGCGCGTCCAGCGCAGCGATGCGTTCTCCAAGGCGCAGCTGATCCAGCCGTTTTCTCGATCCGTCTTCCGTTCTAACCTGACTGCTTCCAGGGAAGCATCCTCCGGACTTTCCGGCGGACGAGGATTCTGCAAAGAAGCAAAGCACGTGGGCTCTCAGTAGAGCTTTCGACAAGAGTCGGCGGGGAACTGCAGTCCTACTGGGAGCGTGGGCGAGTGATTGATTATCAATAAAATAGTGGCAGGACACTTTGCGTACTGGACTCGGGACATCGAGTGGCAAAAGGTGAAAAAGGGGACGGGGGGTAAAGAACAAGGATTCCTTGGGGAAGCACAACTGGGAATTGAGAACGTGATCAAAGTCAATCGGCTCAGCGATCAGGTAACTGGATCTGGGAGGTGTCGCTGCTATCTGGCATAAGTGCTGACGTAAATGAAAGCTGGCAACAGGTACTGGATTGGGATTGGGATTGGAGCCAGGAAACCAGGAAACAAGGAAACCAGGAAACCAGGGAGTCACCGTGGGAAAGCGTGTAATTTCACTTTACACGTGGAAAACGATGTATACGCGAGAGAGATTCTAAGAAATTAGGAATTTTTTTTAATAAGTGGAGATTCCCTTATGCTACTTTGCGTCGCGGTCGTCGAGTGGACGTCGAAGCGAAGATCTTTCGGATGGACTTTGGAATTCCAGAAAAGCGAAATTATGTGACGCGTGAAAATTACCACGCGGGTAGTTCCGTCGCCCTGTTGCTTAGTCGTTCTGTCGTTCTGTCGTTCTGTCGTTCTGTCGCCATGTCGCCATGTCGCCATGTCGCCCCGTAGGCTTTCTTCGAGTATCCGCCCGTATTGATTTTGCGGCTACGTGTCGCTCACTTTTAATTTGATCTGGCAGCCTTGGCTCGATTTATTGGCATTTATTTTGAAATCGGATCTGGGTCTCTGAAAGGTTCTGAAACAAGCACGCTCCACTGATTGGCTGCGTAGGTAAACAGGAAAACCGGACGGGGTTGGCGAGACGGCCACGGTGATGAGGATCAACCAAGATCTCCACGAAAAAGATCTTCACTCCGATCTGGAGCGAAAAGCTTTGATCGAAATCTGAGGAAATTTGCGATTCTTGTAATGTATTTATGACCTAAAGGCTACAGTCGATACGAATATGGATGCAGTTTTACCCTATCCTATGAATGGGCACCGTGCCGCTATGAATGCACCCTTATGGTATTGTCCAAGGGGGATGATTGATAACCGGCAACGTAGAAACCTTCTAGCTAGTTAGCCAGTGCTGCCTCGCACGTCGAACTGGTTAACTAGCGAAACAGTGGTGCTCAGCGAGCGACGCTTGTGTGACTTTTGAAAAACCCTGAGAATCGAATCTACCGTTATAAAAATAATCAAAGACGAAAGCGCAAGACGTTTTCCATAAAGTTCGAGAAAAATAAGATTTTGGAAAAACGATTGAAAGTTGCACGTTTACTGTAGACTTCGCGTTGAGCGTAAAAAAAGGTCGTAAATCGTTTGAACTTGACTTACAGATACGAGAACCGACATCGAAATGCAAGGATTGCGGGCAACAGGAGCAACAGGAGCAACAGGAGCAACAGGAGCAACATACCGGCGCACGCGTATTCTTCATTCGCAGGCTAATCGCGAAGGAAAGACAATTGGCTGCTATCATCGTTAATCGTAATATCGATCATCTGTCCTCGCTCGAAGCACGACTGATCAAAGACTAATTAATCATTTTATCACGGGCAAAGATAACCGCTGGAATTCTACGCACCATAGATCATTTCTGAAGACTGCTTCCTAATCGGTTTGTTTATCGATACTGCATTCGCTTTTCACAAGATTAATAATACTTTGGCTCCTTCTTAGTAAGACGAGAGTCCCAAGGTAATGCGATAATCGATCGTCTCGATAATTGTCCGAGGAGCGGTCGACCTGCGTTTCCGAGGGAACGTTCCCTGATCACCTAAGCATGCTGCCTCGGATCGAATTGATCGGTGGCCTTGTTTGAACTGATTGGAGAAGGCCGAAGGGACGAAGGGAGGAGAAGGGAAGCTGGGATTTTAACGAGTGATAAGGCAACATGGATAACCGAACAGAGAGATAAGATAAGAGCAGCCACAGAAGCGTGCACGAGGAACGGTCGAAGAAGAGTCGTGTCCAAGCGGAAGAATCAATTAATGGAAACGGAGGAGCGACGCGCGTTGAGAATCCCGGGAGGTGGACGTTGAGCGTCCAGCGAGCGAACGAGACTCGGCTCGGAGCTCGTTTACATTCTACGACGTCGTTACAATGTCTTAAGATTTATATCGCTAAATTATTAACGAATTAACAAAATGTAATTAGAATTTATAACACCGATAGGATCGCCGACGTTGACGCCTCGCTCCTTATTTACGTGCTATTTCCGTCAAAGCGTTTTCCGCCCACTAAATCAGAGAGTTTAACGTCTCTCGGCGAACTCTCCGATCGTCCCTACCTCTTCTCGCCCCCCCCCCCC